TTTTCCGGGCGGACCTAGCAGATTTGAGGCTGACATCAAGGTCGCGGACAGTTGAACTAAAGAGCCTATTATGATCGATAGTTTTCTTGTACTTCTCTTCCAACTGGGAATGTTTCGCCCTCACAGCAGCAAGCTCTTCGATTTTGAAGTTCAAGGCTGCTTCTAAATCAGTCACCTTTTCAGCAGTAGCAGCATCGTACTCGGTTGCAACAAGAACATCGTCCTGGACTTCAGCCCATTTGGTCTTGGCTTCCTCAAATCTAACCCTCAGCGGGCCAATTTATTGGCTAAGGGTTCCTACTTCTTGCTCGCTTTGCTGCAAACGAGCCTCCAAAACAACGACCTCAGTGGCTTTAGTTTCCAGTTCCGATAGGCGGAGAACAGTTTGGTCCCATTCCACCAAAAGTTGATTCCGTTCAGAAGTATGTTCCTCCTTCTCACGACTCAACCTCTGAAGGCCCTCAGAAGTAAGAAAGTTGGCCTACAAAACAAGAAGAAGTGAAACTTAGAATACATTCATACAAAAGTAGAAGAATTAACAAAGGAAGAATGGAACGCATCACTGCGGCATTGTGCGTGGGATTGTTAAACAAATACTCCCCCGAGAGTGCTCGAATCTTTTCCCAATCTTTCTTTGAAGCCAAAGGCTTCAGATAGTTAGCAAGCTCCACCAGCCAGGAGAGCAGATTGCACTCGGTAGAGACCGAAAGGATAACATTCCTCCTCCTTTGTGGATCTTCGGAAAGGGCAGCATAATTTTGCCCCAAATTCCCATGAACTTGGGACTGGGGAAGAGGAATACCCTCTCCATGGTCAGGTGCGGCCAGCGGAGGTGATGTAGCAGTAGCTGGTATTGGTGAAGGTGGAGATGAATCTATGAAGTCGAAGGGTGAGAAACATTTGCATCAAATGCAGTGCTGGTGGATGGATGCTCGCCAACCAAAGATGGTAGGGATCCAGTACTCAGCCCCGCAGTACCGGACACAGCCCTTGGGGACCAAAAATGGGAATTGGCATTATCTACCAAATCAAATTCTCCCCAAAGTGCCGAGACATCATCCCCGATTGGTGTAACTATCTTAACAGGTCGAGCATCTTGTTGAGATGATAAGGATCGTCGCCTTCTATGTAGAGAAGCTCCCTCATCACTAGTTTCTTCATCATCATCAATCATCACGGTGTCTATGACCGACCCGAAAGGAGGACCAGTCACCATCTCCACCGGAGATGACTCGGGGGCATCAATCTTTGCCCTCTTATTCTTTTCCCCGGTCGCAGAGGAACGTCTTCTCTTCAGTTGTTTATCCTCCAGCCGAGGACTTCGTAAAGAAATGTTTGCACCCGAAACAGGCCCGGAGATACCTGTTCAGTAAGTGCCTCCTGAAGCAGCCTTGCTGCATCAGCAGGATCAGCTATGACGTCCTCCTCAGAGAAAGCAACAGAGCCTGCAGGTAGACCTAATTTCATGAACAAGTCAGAAGAGTTCGACCAAATTCTCCATATACAAAAAAAATGGAAGCAAGGTAAGTTAAAATTACTATGATTTTTGGCTTTCCACCCATATTTAAGGTCTAGTTTTTTCCACAAACGAGTTTCGGGAGTCGTGACATCCAAGATCTTTTGAACCCACCAGTCCAAGCCTTCCATCACCAGTGGGATCCATCGAGTTGCTGAAAAATGCGAAGGGTGAAGAGTCAATACGGCGATAGAAGAATATTTAGTGAAAGAAAATATATTAAGTAAAGATCTTACGAGTGAGGTTCCAAGCGGCCGGAAAGGATGAAGCCGTTGTCGGAATGATATTATTTGTGGCAACTGCAACAAACCGTTCTGTCTACCCACGGTCGTTATCATCATCCATGCTAGTCAACGGAGCATGGTGACCACGTTTGCAGAGGTTTATCATACCCCCACGAAAAATTTAGGGGAAGTAGAGATTCATCATACGAGCTAATGTTAGCTCTTCTCCAGTCACCGGGTACAAGCGTCGAAGGCAGGTGACCGTACTCCACACTAAAGGACTTACCTGTGCCAAACACAACTGGTAGCGAAGGCGAAAATCCACAATTACGGAATCAAGCTCTCCACTCAAAGAAAACGCACCCAAAGTAAAAGGATACGTGTAAAATTATATAAAACCTTCCCTGGGAAGGGTCACTCGCTCCGATAGATCAGGAGCAATGATATCCAACTCATAGCAACGACAGTCTTCCTTCATAGCAGGACTATTCGAAGGACGAATAGAAGAAGGATACCTACTAACAGCCCATGTATGGGGGTTAGCAGTGGAAAAATTTCTCTTCAAAGTCTTTTGTGGTACTGAGTCTTCTTGGGATGATGGAACCCACTGTTGGAGGAGCTGAGTCCTCGACTTTGTTCTTGTTCTTTGAAGAATCGTCACACTTGGAAAAAGAATCCATTAAATAAGAAGAAAGAAAAGGTTTTTGTTTGAAGAGAATTAGAGAAAGGATGGAGAACAAAGATGCAAATCAAAAGCTCGAGAAAGTATGAAGTTCAAAGGAAACGAATGATGCGTATAAGTAAAATTTTGGCGGCTAAATTCATGGCCATGGTTACCTCGATAATTGACAAAAGTTATGCTAAATCGTAGGATGGCACATGTTCGGGGCATTAAATACGGAGAGACGTGTGTCTAATCAACCATCAGAAGCCTTAAGAGGGAGTTATAGTAATTCCCGCCAAAAAGGTATTTCTACCAACTTCCCGGTAATACAAACTTATGTTACCGGAAAGGTGGGGGACTATCTGTATAGGGTGAAATATGATATGACACGTGGTCATCTAAGGGAAAGACACGTGGAACCAAAGACGGGGATGGCCGAAGACCGAACGCAGCCATTCCGCTTGTCACCGGAAGAGATAACATTCATAAAGGTGTATTAAATGCTCTGCGGCAGGTAGCATTTAATTAGGAATCTTCTGCAGCATTAAGAGCGACGGCCCGTTACAGAGAATTTGACATTTATGTTCAACGTTACATCTTCATCAATGGCTCTCATAATTGACATTATAGGAGGGCATGATCCTAGGACCTCCTTTCCTAGACACAACTATAAATAGTGAGTCCAGTTATCATTGTAAAGGACATGAATTTTCTGGCTAAACTTATACTACATTCTATATAAAACTTAATACAATCTTACTTTTTCGCTTTTTGATCTCATCATTGTCTTGGCCGGAAACCTTGTTCCCGGAACTGTCATTTCTGTTATTTCATCTACATTTTAAGGCTAAGTATTATACATTTCTTCAATTATTGCATTATTTCAGGATTAAATTAGTTTACTTGTGTAGAAATCACGTATAAATTTAACTGTACCATTTTACGGGTAAACAAAAACTAATATCCCGTTTGGCCATAAAATTTGGGAGCTTGTTTTTAAATTTTGTTTTCAAATATTTATTTGTTTATAGATTTTAACCATTGTTTGTCAGATTTTGAAAACAAAAGATTCAAATCACAAAAACAACTCTAGAGTAGTTTTTGAAGTTTTCTACCTATGAAACTTCAAAATTCTTTTTGAGTAAAATGCATGTCCAATCACAACTTCAACTTCCAAAAATTATTTTTCAATACAACTTTAAAAACTCATTTTTTCAAATATCAACCAAATCTATGTCCAAACGCTAGCTAAGGTAGGATCACTGACAAACAATTCTGATTCCTTGTCAAGGCTCGGGCGGTGGGTTGTTGAATAATGAATTTTGGTTTCTATTGCATAAAAATATCAAGTTTTTATGTCACATTCTTCAAAACAAACGTTGTAAAAGACATGTTACATGCCTTGTTTGTAAAAAAAACAAGACAATAAAACTGAAAAAGCTCTAAAACTGAAAAATCTCCAATTTCGAAAACAACTGAAAACCAATTCCAAATTAAAACTCACGAAAAAACAAAACATGTTGAATCCTTGGTGGTTGTGGGAGGTCATTTCCTTATATGACATACAAGTGCGCGTCGAGCCCATGCAAAGTGTTTGGTTAAGATATGCCAGATTCCACCAAGTATACAAATGAAACCGCTTCTTATTCCCGTGTTTGATCTCTTCTATCTCTGCCTGGGCCCACCCTTCCTCCTGTGCTTTGAGAACCGTGTGAACGTGGCCCTTGTTCTATCTGCTTCTTTCTCTTGGCTATCCTCACCTCATGATTTATTATGAGTTAGCTTTTAGTATTAGAGTCAGGCTTCCCCAATTTATTATGGTATTAGAGTCAGATCAGGCCCACTCCATTTATTATGCTATTAGAGTCAGGCTCATCCCAATTTTTTGTTATCGATGTTGGCCCCACTTATATTTTTCATGCTCCGGTTTGCGGGCAAGGACTTAGGCCCAATTTCCATTCATCAAAACAAGCATAAAAAAAATGTGACGTTTTCTAATCCACAACTTCGACAATTCAGGACCATGTTGATAGATGCAATGGTGTTAAACTTTTGTATACCCAACCATATATTTTGCTGTGCTATCATGAATATTATAGAGGAAATAAGTTTTCATTTAACGGAGGCTAATTGAACGTTCTATCAATAGCTTTTCAACACAAGCACCGGAAATTTTGGAGCAATATTTGGTGAAAAAAAGTAAAATTCTTTGTTTTCTATATTTTCATCCGGTGTTTGGTATGAGTTAAATTTTAATGCTACAAGCAACAACTTATTTTGAGCTGAGCTCTTAGAGAAATCATATTAAAAATACCAACTAAAAAATAGGCAGTTCGATGAACTAATCTCCTGCTATGTGTGGAAATTCAAGAATGGTCAAACCATATTGGCACTAATATACACGGTCTTATCTTGCATTTTTACCCAATTAAAGGTTGTTTCACAGGTTGAATCCATCGGCATAAATTTTTACCGTTGCACTAAGACTCCCTCTCAAAAAGTAGCAAGAGCTGAAGAACCAATAGATATGGATAAGCTAGAGATATTTATAAATGTATAATAACAATAATCAAAAGAGATTAATTATTAAATCCAACTACAATTTGGCAAGAGTTTCTTCCAACCAAATTCTTGATATGTCCATTAAATCAGGACTCAAACGAACCATTAATACACAAAACTCCATCTCATTTAAACAACCATCTCCATCCAAATCCCCTTCTCTCAACATGCACATAACCTCATCATCTCTCATATCTTTCAATCCCAACAATTTTGAATTCTTTTTCAAACTCTCAAATGTGATGACTTCCCTCTCCTCATCCATTAGCATTCGAAATCCATTGCTTAGCTCTTTCAAGAATCCCTCAGCTCCAAGTTTTTCCACCATTGAAGGGAAAAAATCATCGAATACGATGTCTCGTCCCAATGTAGTCATTGATATTGGACTATCACTTAAAATTAAATACAGAAGCAAATTATTATTGGATGTAAAATTTAGGATGTGGATATATAGATAGATATACAAATTCAAAGGGATATAAATAGGTAAAGGATGTAAAGGAAATTTTGGTGGAAAGAGTCCAAGAAAATGCAAAGGAAGGTACATGAAAGAGAAAAGGAAGCTGAGGGAGAATGAGGATAGAATTGGTTGCTATAGTTTCCTGGAAGTTGCATGGGGAGGGGTACCACTAAATAATTTTTGGTAGGATGCTATGTAATTGAGAGCATTTTCCTTTAAAGAAATAAAGTTTTAAATTTGAAGGGCAATTTCCTTAAATATGTGTAGTTTACTCATTTGGTATGGTCACTATTCATCAATTATTTTTGTATATTGACAATATATAATTTTTTATACCTTCGGGTTAAGATGACCTACCGCAACTAATTGTCTATAGTAATTCTATTTTGATAACGTAAATATGCGATAATAACTTTTTTTTTGTTCCGACCCGATGTCTGTACATGTACTTAATTCAGATTCACGTCGGAGAGTCTTAGCGCTCTTTACTAAAGACAATTCCATATCGAGGACTCAAACCCTAAACCTCTTATCAAGGATGAAGGAGTACTTACCTCTCCACTATAATATTTGATGGTGCAATAAATAACTTGGTATAATCAGTTAAAACATAACGATAGCTAGTTTGAAATATTTACATTATCAATTCATATAAAATAATTTTATCAAGAGCACCAGCCACGTCCATTTATTAATTTGTTTTATTTTTGTTTGTTTGTTTTATTTTTCAAATTTCATTTCCTTAGATAGAGTGACAGACCATAACATCATCCTTTAAGCTTTCTTTTAGGCAATACTTTTTTTTTTTCAATTTAATGTAATTGCCAGGTTATTGCGTCTATGCTGTCTGACGGGTATGTATTAATTAAGTCGTGTGATGCTGTTGTACGCTAATACAAAAATAATAATTTTCTCTGAAATATCTAGTTAAATCTTAACAAATTCCATCAAGAATATTTGAGGCAACAATGTTTGAAATTCGCATGTTATTAAATAATAGTATCTGTGAAATTGTACAAAAACTAGCTTCTCT